ATATATATATATATATATATATATATATATATATATATATATATACTGTCTTATCAAATATTGAAAAATTGCAAAACAGCAAAGATCTTTCTGGGAACTTTTCCTGTGGAATCTCCGATTCCAGACTCATCGATAAAAAAACGTCATTAAGTAGTCGTAAGAATGTTAATTTAAATTTTCGCTAATAAGAGCGTGTGTAGTACATGTTTGCGAAACTTTTAAACCAAGGTTCCCCTTTAGTAAAAAAGGAAAGAAAAAATCGAAGGAAGGATGTTTACAGGACTTAAGAGGATTTACGAACTCTTGAGACATACTTCAATTTTGCGCTCGGGTAGAATTTAGGGTAAGCATACTTTTACGCTAAAATGGTGCGCGCGACCAGGATACTCTTCTCTCGCTTTTTACGCCCGCAGGCTAGATGATTGAGAGTTAATGCGCTCGCGAACTTTCAGTCGTGTGCACGTGCCATCCGTTCTTTGAATATCAAATTATCGCTCCGATAGATTTTTCCACCAAGTGACGCGCAGAGACACGATTGATCATCATGGAGCGTTTGACGCGTATGTAATCGATGATAATCTCTCATTCACATTGCAAATCTGACTTGGACTACGAAAATATAGTTTAAAATTTGAAGTCTTTCTGCACGAGCGCTTGCACGACGCATTGTATGAATATGTTTCACAAGCGTTCGCGGTTAATTTCATTAAATGCAGAGTTTTCGATCACAGTCATCTAGTTAATTTCATTCATGCAGAGTTTTCGATCACAGTCATCTAGTATTGTCGGAGTTGGTACATTTGTACCAGATTTGGTACTTTTTCCTCACAATTGATACGTTGGTACTACAATGCATAAAATTGGTACAAATAGGCTATTTGTATCAAACCTGGTATGAATATACCAATTCCAACACTGCAGTCGTTCCTTTCGATCATCCTCTTCGTCCTCGATTACTCCGTAAATAGATAGACACAAGCGAAGGTAAAGCCGAAGAGGGATGATCAATATATATAGAAACCCCGCTTTCCCCGGACAACGATCAAATCTTTGTTAAATCATAGTTCTCTACCTGTATTTTACTTTGGCATTGGGCACTTTCCTATATTTAATAGTCGAAAGGAGATACAGGTAGTTAAAGTGGTTGAAGTGTGGTTTGTTTACCCTTATATCTTTATGTTATTGTTGATTGGATGTATAGTTCAAGGATGTTATAGATGTATGTGTAAATTTCTTACGACTAATTTCTTACTAATATATTGTATCCCAAATATGATCGAAAACGTTTCTCATTTTCGTGAAATATAAGTATTTATATAACGTAATTTTGAATTCCTGTATCTCCGTTCCAATACTTCGGACAGAGATAAGCCCGAGAGTAAATTTGACGTACTCGAAGGGTACTATTTTTTGGTATAGGTTTCATTGATGTCTGCTCTTGGGGGCATCCTCCTTTCGCGTCGCGAAATCGGTTTGCCGCGCGTCGAGTTTGAATCTCATTACGCAGAGCTGATGATGGGTCAAGTGCTGAAGAATGTATCAGGAAAAGTGAATATGCACGCACATGTGTACGCACGCATATATGTACGCACGTATACATACACACACGCACGCATACCTGAGGGCAAAGAAAGAAGGCGTCGGAAGTACGGTGCAGGTGAAGGAGAAAGAGCAAAGAGCGTCCGGGAGCCTCGATGGACGAGACAGAGCGACACAGTCAGGGGAAGAGACACATCAGAGGGAGAGAAGCCACGACAGCGAAACGGGAAGCGAGAACGGGAGATGGCGAGATGGATAGGTGGCGGACAGAGAGAGAGAGAGAGAGAGAGAGAGAGGCGGCAGGGGTGTCGGGAGCGGGACGCGGCATAGGGAGGGAGGAGGACGGCTGAGAGGTGGAGGTTTCGAGTGCGGTTCAGTTGTAGCGGCACCGTGGCTGAGATCGGACGCATGTCTCCGTTTACCTGGCGACCCGCGTGTCGCCGCGGCCACGCGCGCGTCACTCTTTCGTCCCGTCGCGTACTCTGCTCGCCGGCTTTTGCCGCCTCCACCGCCGCCGCCGCCGTAGCTGCCGGTGTCTGATCAAGCACGCGGTTGCTTCACTGATCGGTCGGTTGGCCGGCCGGCGCGCCGCCTGTCTGCTTCCACTGCAGGTCGTACACGAAACGCCTGCCACTATTGCGGCTCTTCTCTGCCTTCTCCGGGAAAATCAACGCGCAAAACGGACGCGGTAGCACGTTGAATGGGCCGGTGGAGGGACGTCGCGTTGTTTCATTGACAGTGCCGTCCGTGTTCGTTCGACGAAATCAGCGTTCGCGTGGACTCGCGATATTTCTCAGGGAACACGCGCGCCTCCGCGCGACGAACGTGGCGGGGGAGTCCCAGCGGCGGCATAATTCGAAAGTTCAACGAACGAAGCCGCGAGCGGCAAACTTGGAGGACTACCTGGAACGTGGGCGCTCCGGTTGCAGTTATGGCGAAGTTCCCCTTTGACTTGGTCGCGGGTAACGCGAGACTCGGAAAGGAGTGGTAGTCCCGGAGCGACACGTACAGCAGACGCGATGATGGTAGTTGAGCATTTTCGTATTGCAGCTCGCGGAAAGTTGTGCGCGGCGTGCCGGAAGCCAACCGGCCTGGGGCGCGCCGGGCGAGTGAGTGAGCGAGGCACCTGCGAGGTTAACGTTATGGTAACGTGAATCGATCGTCTCGATTTTCGTTCTCCCTCCGCTCTATCTGTCACGGCAAGAACTCGCGGCGGAGGTGCATGCGTGCACGTCACGAACCTGCTCCGGTGATCGTAACGCTCACGAGAGCGTGCACGAGGCAAACTCGCGTTGGGGCGGGGGTGAACTCGAAGCTACGTCGACTATCCGCGAATTTTCGAAACTTTTGCCGGCCGCAAGGAAGAAACTCTCTTCTTTTCCTCCTTCCCTCTCTCTCTTTCTTTTTCTCTCACGCCTGCTCCGTTCCTCCGCCCCCTTGCCTTCGGTTTCAAAGGTCACCCTTGTTGCGAAGGGCACGCGGGGGTTGGACGGTTACGTCACGAAGACACTGGTCGCACTGGTCTCGAGTAATCTTGCGCCGGCAATTACGCAGTGAGCAGCCTGCGACAAGAGAACGGCGCAATTAAAGAATACATTCGAGGAGACTCGACGGTGACCGACGTGATAAATGCTCGCTCCGCATCGCACGGAGCTCCCGATCGGATATGAGACTAAGATTGAACGTTCTATGCGAGGAGAAAACTCCGCCGCGGATAAAACGAGAAGAATGGCGCGAGGGAAGAGTCGAAGAGACTGCAATCGAATCAGCGCGCCGTAATCCGTCCCTGATCGAGCCAGTGTAGATGCGCGCTGGTATCGCGGGCAAACAGGTGGAGACCAATGGCGCGTCCCGTCCTCCGAGACGCGATTCGCCGCTGACGGAAAAGAACAAAACCCTCGTCCACACGAGTCAAAACACAAAGTCAAGTCGCTCCAACGCCGCTCGCGCTTTTCGGTGCGACTCAGCACGACGTGCTTCGTGCGCGCCCCAGCAGCTCCGACGTGCACGTGACGCGTCCGCAGCAGACACCTGCAGCGTAACTCCTCGCCACATAGAAAGAATCCGCGACTCGACCCGCCACGATGACGCTCCGTCTCGGAATTCCACGCCGAGCCGCGGCATCCGCCGTGCGTCGCCGCATGTGCGCGCGGTAAAGCGGATGACGTGGCCGCACATAAACCGCACGCAAAGTTCGCGACAGTTTGCGCTAATATCGCGTCGGCTAACGCGGATTCGCGGTGGATTTCCGATTAAGAGGGAGAGATTTCGCGATCGCCGTCCTCACGGTAACCGCTGCGTAAGCACCATCGCGGCCAAGGGACCGGCAGGGGTGCTCGAAGGGGGTGCATTCGACGGCAGTGATGAGGGAAATACCAGGCGTACGTTAACCAAGTGCCACAGTTGCGAGGGGAGACTCACGATGACGAGGTCTCGCGCGCCTCTACGCGGCTGAGGGCACCGAGGATGCCGAGGTAGTGAGAGGCTCACTCGAGACCGACGACGATGTCTAGACCGGGCAAGGATCCCGTGCAGAAGTGCCACTCGGATCCGGGCGCAGCCGGCACTTCGTGCAGCCCCAGCAAGCGAATCTCGCGGCGACATGTGCCATGCATTCCGACCTCGCCGAACACGCGCAAATGCGTCTTGACCTTGGACGGATACAGTTACGTGATCGGTGAGTAGAGAGAGAGACCGCGGAGGACCGCGCGGACGGGAAGGACGAGGAGGTGGGATGAGACAAAACGGACGAGACGAAACGGCGACAAGAGACCGAACTGGGTGTGTGCGACAAGTAACGTTGCATAAACAAGCGTCGGCGGTGTAACGAATAACTGTACGCGATTATTCGATACGCGAGTCGCTTGTTACGGGTAACACGAGCCACGGGAGAGCCGGAGGGTAGATTGGCCTCGTGATAAAGTACGCTATATCAAAGCCCCGTAGTGCAGCGGGACGTCCAGATACTGCCCCTTCATTCTCCTGCCGTGAAATGAAAAAAAAGGAAGAGCGGAAAGCAAAGAAATAAAGAGCAAGAAAAAGCGAGAAAAACAATGCGAAAAACGGAAGTGTGAAATAAAACCAGCGGTGAGAGGAGTTCCGGAACTCGGATCTTACTTTGCGCTGATAAACCGAGCCTTCGTTAGATCAAGCCATTGTTGCGTCCGGTAACAATGAGTGCTGCCGAGATGGAGTTCACCAAACAACCGAAATTTATACTCGCGATGCGCGCTGGCGGTCATAATGGTTGATTCATATCCACGGTGTAGCACCGGAACAACAAGCCGAACACTTTAAACGGACGTAATAGCAATAGCCCGCGTCGAAATTTTAACCCTGAACTTTCGACCTGAACTTCCTAACATCTGTATATTCTGAAGAATCATTGTGTGTTTAATACGCATCCTACTAAAATCCTACTTGGCACCTTCAAGTAACAGAAAACGCATAAAATGCCACTTGTGGGTTCTAAAGAGAATCTCTTGGCAACGCTAGTGAATTAACAGAATCAAAAAAGGTTGGCCCAGTATCAAAGTAGACGTTAAATAGATTATCGAGATCGAAAACAAGATCAAAATTTCGAACGAGCGCGGAATTCATCGCGCGAGCAGCATGACCGTATAATAGTGACACTGCAAAGTGGTAGAAAATACACAAAATGTCACTTGTAGGCCCTAAAAAGAGCCTCTTGGTAACGTTAGTAGGTTGAGCCAAAAAGACACATGTTTTCAAAATATCAAAGTAGACGTTAGATGGAATATCGAGATCGAAAGTAGGATCAAAATTTCGAGCGAGCGCGGAATTCATCACGCGAGCAGCATGATCGTATAATAGTGACACTGCAAAGTGGTAGAAAATACACAAAATGTCACTTGTGGGCCCTAAAAAGAACCTCTTGGTAACGTTAGTAGGTTGAGCCAAAAAGACACATGTTTTCAAAATATCAAAGTAGACGTTAGATGAAATATCGAGATCGAAAGTAGGATCAAAATTTCGAGCGAGCGCGGAATTCATCGCGCGAGCAGCATGACCGTATAATAGTGACACTGCAAAGTGGTAGAAAATACACAAAATGTCACTTGTAGGCCCTAAAAAGAGCCTCTTGGTAACGTTAGTAGGTTGAGCCAAAAAGACACATGTTTTCAAAATATCAAAGTAGACGTTAGATGGAATATCGAGATCGAAAGTAGGATCAAAATTTCGAGCGAGCGCGGAATTCATCACGCGAGCAGCATGATCGTATAATAGTGACACTGCAAAGTGGTAGAAAATACACAAAATGTCACTTGTGGGCCCTAAAAAGAACCTCTTAATAACGTTAGTAGGTTGAGCCAAAAAGACACATGTTTTCAAAATATCAAAGTAGACGTTAGATGGAATATCGAGATCGAAAGTAGGATCAAAATTTCGAGCGAGCGCGGGATTCAGTTGCATCGCGCGAGCAGCATGACTGTGTGATAGTGATACAATGCAATATTGACACTTGCACGCGACGCTCTCGAACGTTGCAGCTGCGATCGAGTGCTGGCGAATCGCGCTGTACCTTGCACGCCGCTCTCATCGTCCTGCAGACTCGTTTGATCGTAATTCGCGGCGGACATTAATAGCTTGCGGCGCGAATGCGCATTCACGCGGTCGCGGAGCTTGCACGTTCCGTCGTTTTGTTATCCCGACGGATAATTAGCATTTTAGAACTCGCCTTGTGTGATGCGGCGCGTGTAACATGGTTACACAATGTTATTTACGCGAGTTTATGGGCGCTCCGCATTAGTGTCTTGCGTAGGCAAAGACTTAAGATTATACGCGCGCTTGGACTCCGCTTTGTTAGCGGTGATATATCAATGAATTAAAAGCCGGGCAATCATAAATTATTTCAAAAAACGTGACAGTAATCGTGATGTTCTCGATATGAAGCAACAGCGCTCTTGCGGTGATTAATGAATCAAGATAAATGAACTTTTCTCGTTTTTTCCTGGGTAGATCGACTAAATTATTGCTACAATTGTGCTACAATTGTGGATTATTCACGAGAGAGAATGCATTGTGCACAGCTTAGTTATTTGTTGTTTCGCGCGTTCGATCACGAACCAACAGAAAGCCTAATGAGTGGCAACTTTTTAATTAAAACGGCAATATTAATTAAACACGCGATACATGCATATCTCCATCCGAAACTAACATTTGTGCTTTCTCCCTCTCTCCCTCTCTCTCCCCGCATCGTTTCTGCATTAATTAAAACAACGTACACGCAAAGAACGCGCAGTTTTATATTCTGAGCGCGGCGATTTAATTAATCTGATCGTGCGCCAATAACTCGAAGGATATTGGAGAGGTCTTGTTCTTGAATTCGTGCCATCTTGTTGGAGCGGAAATTCACTTTAATGTTATTACTCGCGCTATATGTTTCGGCTTCCATAATTAATAGGGGGTTAACGGAACACAGAGGTTATATATGCTCTTCTAATGAAATTCGCTCGGTTAATCGTCGAAAAATCCAGACTCACCTTGTAGAGAAGTATTATTCGCGAGAAGTATATAACGCATTATTCCAGAAGTACCAGTTAATATTTTCGTAACTCGCACTCCACGTACCTTTTCCGTCTTCATTAAATATATTGAGAGAAATTATCCGATAAAAAATTAACAAACGGATATTTCCGATCAAAATTCGATGTATTTTTATCCGATCAGAAAACATTCAATGAGAAATATCGGTTAATAATTTTTTTATCGGTTTATCTGATGAAATGCCATTATGATCGGAAGTATTAGATTAAATTTAATCGGATATACTGATTGGATATAAAAATTGATCGGAATTTGATCGGAAACATCCGTTTGTTAATTTTTTATCAGGTAATTTCTCTCAGTGTAACCGATGTGTAACACACATGATATTATACATGATACCGAACGGTAACTTTAAAACGGATCTAAAGGTAAAATAAAAGTACAAGTCCCCGAATATATATTTAATCCTGGACATTTTTGTTGTTTTGATCTTTAAATAATTATATTTATAATTAAATAATTATATTCATAGTCAGCAAATCAAGAACGTCTATATTTTGTACTCAATTTTATTTCTTATGTATTTTTGTTGTATTTGATGATAGGAATGAGAACATTAAAAATCTTTAAACTGCCCGTGAAACTCAAAATGGGATAAAATAAAAAAATATGACCTAAATATTTTTTGTATTTCTGCATTTGTGCCAAATTAGAAAGAAATCGGAATGTTTCTTTTGGATAGGTTTACTTATTAATACTTAATATCTAATACTTTCACACACACACACACACACACACACAGGATATTTGTATATATATATATATATATTGAAAGTTTAAATCCAACTATATGAATACCGATCTATTTGTCTATTTTCTATATGTTCCTAAACGGCCTTTGACCGATTTGATCCAAATTTTTATTCTTTAGGATCCTGTGGAAAATATAGTTACACGAAATTTAGACACCCTACCCTCTGATTTCATTCCCTTGACATTTTATGATAATCCAGGCAATTCCAGCTAATTTTAATTACTAATGTATAAAGTTGAAAATTACATAAATAATTATAATTATAATGCCAGGGTTGTATAGTGACTCTAATTATAATCACGTCGATTTCACGCGTATATATTAAAAGTTGTGTACGTTAAAAATTGTGTAATTCTCGACCTAGGGAATGATGCGTGTTCAGGCATCGACGCTTTTACTAGACAGAAAATTTTCAACGCGTTTCCGCTGATTCGTGTCGAAACGATTCCGCGAAGAATTTAGACGTTGACGTCTCAGCAAATAAAAGCCCAGGTGTGGAGGGGGACTAATCCAGTTAAAATCCGCCTGAACGCAATAAGTATTGATCCTTGTGTACTCCCGCGGAAGTTTTATACTTTCGCGACCGCCGCGAGAAAAAAGCTATCGGTCTTTCAGGTCCAATTATAGGTTTCCTATGTGCTAGACTCGAGAGCATCGGGTGGGTTCGCTTCCAGATATTCTCCGTGGGATCAATATTTCGATATAGCTCACTTTTGAAAATTAAAGCGTCGTTAGGACGCTTTGTTCTTGGAATTCTTGCAGCGCTTTAACGAGACATTTTCAGCACGCGACACCGGAATATCCTGTTGAACTCGTAGTTTGCTCAATCTTAAGGCGAATTTTCAACTTAGCAGAAAAGCCGAAAACAGAATATTTTGCTTGTTTTCCGCGTTTGAATCGTGTCTTTCCTGTATTTAGTCCCAATATTTCGTGAACTTTTCAGTTCTTCGGGGAGCGGAACGATTTGACGACTTGAAGTTTCAAGTCCTTCTCTCTGAAGAAGCAAAATGTTCACGAAACATCGGAACCAAATACAACGAAGACGGTTTAAACCCGGAAAACTAACAAAGTATTGAACAACGCCTCGAAAGTCTAAAATGCCAAATCCGAAAGGCAAAAGGAACCAATCAGAACTCACATTGGTGGTCAGGTGGTAGTCGACAGTTTCTGGTCTCTGTCAGCGCGAGTTCTGACCGGCTTTCTGCTTTTCTCCGTGAATTCGTTCTTAGATATCAAGTCGCGCGACAGCCAAAAGACACGAACGTATTTCCCTGCAGGCCTTGTGTGCGATAACGCGACGGCGAGAGGTAAGAATCGACTCCGTAGACATTCCACTAGAGATTTTCCGTCAT